ATTTCTGCAGTTGTTTCGGGTACAGTCGCACAGAATTTTCCAGCTACAGGAGTTGGAATCATCGAATCTTTTCTCGAAATGCTCCCACATCCATTGCAGCAACCGTCCTTTGAGTCCTATCGTGTTGGTAAAGTCCACTTTTTGAGGAACCAAATTAGCCAGCCTCTTTGCATGAAACCAGAAATTTTTCACAAACAAATTTTGCAGGGCGTGTACATTCAAATAAACGAGATCTTGTATTAGCCAGGTCATTTTTTGGCGGAAAACGGTCAGAAAAATTGAAGTCGTAGTGATTATTGAGGATTTTAGATAGTAGAAGTAAATTATTGAGCTGAATGTACATGGGTAAAGGCAGTATTCCTAGACGCTGAAGCGACGTTTTGTAATTAGGATCTGTTGCAATCCATTTGCATGCATTGCGTTGAACACCTTCTAACAGTTTCATTTCTTCGACGTTCAATTGATAGCACGCTGAGCCGTATAGCAAAACTGGAATTACCATGGATTTGAACAGATTAAGTTTGGTCTTGGTATTAAGAGGCAGTGGGCTGCGCTTCAGCATGCATAGAGTGCTGAGGGCTTTTCCTCTTCTAAGTTTAATATGCGATGTCCAGCCTAGATCCGATTTTACAATTATTCCTAGGTCTTTTTCCTCTGAGACTTTCTTAATTAAAATTGAGTCGAAGTAAAAGTCGCTACTTGTGGCACGTTTAACCGGTAGGTGAGTGCATTTTGACGCATTGAACGCAATCTGGTTTTGTTGAGTCCACGTGAAGATGTTATTTAGGTCTTTCTGAAAATCTGCGTTAAGTGTACTAATTCGTAAGAACTTTGCGTCGTCTGCGTATAGAAAGCTGGTGGAATGTTTACATACACTTGGTAGGTCGTTAATCATGACAAGAAAAAACAATGGCCCGATGATTGATCCTTGAGGAACACCGCTTGTGACATAGAATGATTGGGACAGACAGTCTTTGATTTTGACACATTGTGTTCTCTTTGTCAGGTAGTTATAAATTAGTTTTAAAATTTTGCCTCTGATTCCCAGCGAGTAGAGCTTATCAATCAGAATACCGTGATCTACTTGGTCAAAAGCTTTCTCGAAATCAGTATATATTACGTCTACTTCTTCATTTTTGCTTATAGCTGAATATATGGTATCAAGATAGAGCAGCATTTGGATGATCCCTGACCTTTTCGCGCGAAATCCGAATTGGTTGTTGTGCAACATAGGTTCTAGATGTTTATATAGATCGATGAAAAAAACTTTTTCGAAGATTTTGCTGGCAATATTAAGTAGTGATATGGGTCTGTAGTTACTTATCGAGGCCTTGCTTCCTTTCTTTTTGAATATTGGGCTGACAATAGAGTGTTTCCATTGATCAGGGAAACAACAGGTCTGGAGTGCTTTATATATGATATGGTAGAGAGAGGGCGTTAAAGATTCACTACAACGCTTAAATAAAACAGGAGGTAGTAGATCGGGACCTCTCGACTTACTTAGATCTAGATCATTACACAGTTTGGCAATCAGATTCCTGTCTGGTTCTATATTATGAATTATTTGTTTAATTGAGTGCTCTTGTTTTTCAAGACAGGATGGTTGAGAAGAGATTATAAATGCTGAGTTAAAAAACTTCGCGAATAGATTAGCTTGTTCTGGCAAGGTTTTCGCAACTGAATTATCAAGTTTCATGACGGAAGGTAGTTCTGAGTTACGGAACTTTCTATATTATTTAAACAGGGCTTTAGTATCACGCGAGTTAGACAGATGTTGTTCGTATTCGCTTCTGTTATTCTCTACGGCGGTTTGTACCTTTTCATTCATTGCAATCACCGAGGCACATTGTGAACCTTTTTGTTTGCGTAATGTTGACAGACGTTTCATTGAATTTGACGTCTCAGGAGTTATCCAGGGAGGAAGATTTTGTCTATGTTGAGTTCTACGCGGGATGAATTTTGGCAGAAAGCTATGATTCCATTCGTACCAAAGTTCGACTATTTTTGTAACATTTGACCAGCAGTAAGGTGAGAAGGTGTTGATTGAAAACGCCTCGTTTAAACCGTTGAAGTCAGCTTTGCAATAGCTATAGAAACTGGTTTTACTAAATGTGGAGTTTTTCTCGAGTTCCTTTACGCGGATTATTGAGTTAATAGGTTTGTGATCAGATTTTGGTGCAGTAAATGCGTCGAGTGGTAGGGTGTCCATTATTTCAACTTGGTTGCTAACAAGGACTAAGTCAAGTATATTAGCGTTCGTTGTTTTGAAATGAACAGTTTGAGTTAAGCTTAATTTATCTATTTTGTCAAGTATATATTGATGGAGCGGTTCTGAGGTTTGAATGGACCAGTCAATTGAAGAAAGATTAAAGTCTGCGTTTATTATACGATGATTTGCATTGCAGTTCGACAAGAAGTCCATTAGCTGACAAATGCGGAAGGGCTCCAGATAAAATTTGCTGTTAGGAGGGGGGAAATAGCATGTGGCAATTAGTAATGTGCCTTCGGAAGATTTCCAGATTATAGCGGTGCAATAACCTTGAAATTTGTCAGGAAGAGAGATTTCATAGCATTTTAGTGCATACTTTGTTGCAATAGTAACCACACTGTGGGCGGTTTTTTTCATTTTGTTTGGTGTTTCTGTCAGAACGAAAGATATTGAAGCCAGGGAGGAATAGTTCGGAGTCGCTGATGTTAATTGTGAGCCATGTTTCGCTTAAACAGATGATGTCAAATTTTTTAGTGAAGACAAAGTTTGATAGAGATGTGCGCCTACTTGAGTTCACTAAGCTTCGGGTATTGAAAGTAAGAATCGAATAATCGGTAAATTGGTCAGTTTCGTGACTCAAAGAAAGTCAACATTCACTCAAATCTTCTACTGCTCCATCTAGGAAGAGTTCTAAATTACGAACTTTTAATCGGCTAGGATCTGTGTTTTCTTCGATCAGGCTTCTTTTTTTCAAGATTTTGCGTTCTTGTTCTTGCTCGGTCTTATTCAACGATTTGCTGATGTACACTTTGAATTTTTCGTCTGCGGTACCATCGTATTGCTTCAGTCTGAAGGCACTCGCAAGTACCTTGTATGCAGTCATTTTGTCGCGAAACTTGACTAAAAATGTTCTTGGTCTTCTCAACTCAGGTCTGAATTTTACCATACGTGTTGCTGATGTTATTGCTTCTTTTTGAATTTCGAGTTGTTCCATGATTGAAATCATGGCTTTTTCTTCGTGTTGTATTGTCTAGCTGTTTGAGCTTCTTTTTAGAGCTGACAGATTTGAACTCCGGTATACCGGAGATCCTCACCTCACATGTTTTATCATCTTCGGAGCTTTTCTGTTTCAACAGTGCTGAGATGTAGCTACCCTTGGAGGTTTCCCCTGCTGATTGCGTTTCTGACAATGCTGATCCTTTAACGTCATCGTGCACTTTTTTATTGAAGATTTGATAGCATTAAAGTCGTTCTGAATGCTCTCTTTTTCGTTGAACTTAAGTATTAATTCTTTGAATAGACAAACAATGTTATCTTTTTTCGTTTTGCTTAGGAACTTGTTTAGATCATCGTCGTGAGCAGACAGGATTTGATCAAGTGAGGGATAGTAGTTCACATCTACCGAACCAAAGCGCGTCCTGGTCTCACCCATTATATCGATATGGGTCTACTAGAAAATGATTGCTTGCTTTAAGACTTGTTTGCAATGAATCCCGAGAGGGAGACCAATTTGCCAAGCCTTACAAACAGCGGAGCGGAAAAAAGGAAGGGAGGGGTCTGACTTCAACAGTGAATCCAGAAAAGGAGACCTATCTGTTAAAGTCTAAACGAGGGCTCTAACCTTATCCCGTGGATGATCCGCACAGACAACCGGTCGCTCGATTGCACTCGTAAGTGTTGGGTCGTCGCTCGCTGACACTTACAGAATAGTCTTCGTATAAGACCCGTTTCTTCAAAATGCTTCTTAGTCCACTCAAAGCTGACTCGTTGAGGTGGACGTGATCTCGCTCGGTGACGTGGTTCTCACAGTAAATCTGTTCAGATAGGCCTCGGAAAACCCAACGAGCGCCAACTGCTTGTTTTTCCATCTTTCGATTTACCGCGAAGTGTCGGAAAATCAACATCACGGACCCAAAATCATCGACATGGAACAATTTTCATACTGAGATTCAAAAGGCAAAGAAGACATGGGAAGCAAACCAGTATCCACCCCAATTCTACGAACCCATCTTCAGAGAAACTACTGCTGGGGCCGAAAATCAACATCACGGACAGGCAGAAGAAAGACAAAGGCCTGTCAACAATGTTCACTTTGCACTACAGAGGCACTGTGAGTGACACGTTTAGAAGACATTTGAACAATATCACTCGTGTCCCTGTTATTTTCACTACCCGGAAACTGAAAACTGCTGTCCCGTCTCTAAAATCCAAGATCCCGAATCATCTCTGTAGTAATGTGGTGTAGCATATCACTTGTCCTGGCTGTAGTGCCAGCTATGTTGGGCAGACAACCCGACACCTCACCACACGCCTTAACGAGCATTCGCGGATCTCTATTCCAGTGGGTGAACACATGACACAATGCGTTGGCAACACAGAAAACTTGATGGCAAAGATCATAGATCGATCTAACGACCCTGTCAAAATTTTAACGCTTGAGGCCCTCCACATCAACCGACTCAAACCAAGGATCAACAGAAAAGAAGAATACAGGTCGCGCGAACTCACAGTCAAGGTTTAGAAAAACATCATTATTGTCCCATCAAAGATAGCTTAAAGATATCTATATACTTTTTAGATCTCTCGGTGCTATTTTAAACTGTTTTTTGTTTTTCATTTTTGATTTCATTTCTGTTTGTACACTTTGGATTGTGCGTTTAGTTTTTCCTTTTTTAGACTGATGATGATTGTAATCAATCGAAAACGTTCTCATAACTAACATTGATTGTTTTTCCTGAGCTATTTTGCTTGTAGCAAGCGTAATATAAATATACCACTTCAATTCACTCACCTCTCTACCCAGCTTCAGACAAAACTCGTCTACTATGTCTCTGAGGTAGATGAACGGCTTATTATCCTTTCCTTCGTTGCTCTTCAGCTCCAGCTGACCTCTGTAGCCAGGGACACAGCTGTTCACAGTGAAAGTAATAGGATTTTTCGTCATTTGTCCTCCATGTATATGTATATCACTACATACTTAACATTTGATTCTAACACAACATAACTGAAAAACTAAAACTACTTTTCAGTCGATCATAACAGCGAGCTTTTTCGCCAACAAAAAACTTGAAACATCATTAACTTAATTTTAAAACATTAGCAACCAAAAACTCAGAAACAGCTACTTGATCCATTTAAAAACTTACTGTAACACATTTACAATGTACAATTTAGAATGTATAGAAGATCATTCAAATGAAGAATGGAAAGATGTAACAACTAAGGATTCATTACAAGGCTCAAAAAAGGTGCTGCTTTCATGTTCTTGGGTGATTTCCTTGTCTTTAGACGGGTTTTTTCCTTTCAGTCTTTTCATAGCCATGATACAATGCAAATTTTTTCCTTTTTCCCCTAAAACTGAGGGAATTTTACGCTTTGACGCATATTCACTTGCTTCCTCTTCCGATTCTTTGTCCAGAGATAACTTCTCCGCGTTCTTTTGACTACCTTTGAACACTCCTAGATGTGGCTTTCTGGCATTGAAATGAAACGGTGATACGCAATTGAGATCCGTTACAATATCTTCCCATTTAATAGAGTGCATACTGGACGAAGTCTGGCTAGTGTCGCTAAATATGAACCATGATCGAGGTGCATATTGACTATTAACATAGCAGCATTCAACATCACCATAAGCTAACTCAGGAAAGGCTGGCGTCACTTCAAAGCCTACAGGGCACATGTAATGGTTAAAGCAGTGATAGATTAAAGCAGTATCAGTTGACACCAGCCCTTCTTTGAATTGCACTAGGGCAACTTCCGCTGATATGGAAGTTCTTTTGGCACCCTGTGGCTTGTACAACGTGTAGAAGTATCCACTGACATCAAAGTGTGTTGTCAGTCGGTTGAACCACTTCTTAAGCGTCGCATTTCCAGTGAAGGGTCCGAATCTGATCTGATTGAAAGGTGGCTCGAAACCGAGAATTCTCATCGCGTGTTCTTGGGTCACCGGTGCTAAGTCTCCGTTGCCCAGTCTTGAAAAGAGAAAGTTAAAACACGAAACTACCGATGATATACCACACGAATACTTGTATTGCGGTCGACTAATACATACCCATCTTTTCGTATCAAAAAATTTTCGCTCCAACAAAGGCTGCGGATCTTGGACGTAACTAACTTCGATAACCGGCCGAGACGGCTGCGCGGTGTAAACATCTGTGCTTGAGTTTTCATTCAGTATTTCGTTTGCGTGTAAACTAGTTATCAAAGAGACAGAATTTGGTTGAATATCAATTTCAATAGGAGTACCGTTGGCTCTGTAGAACCGAAAAAGAGGGTTGAAAAATGTTAAAGCTTCATCCACAAGTTGGCTAGAAAATGCATCTACAAGATCTTCGAATTCTTTCTGATCGAATAAATTATTTAATAGAGACTTTTTGATTCTGGTTTTTTGAGCTGGCGACTTCAAATTTCTATCCAATGGAACGAAAAAACTAGTTGCTTTCGTGTTGCTAGCTATTCTGCAATTTGATTTGCACGAGCTATCAGACGATGCTGTGTGGTCGTTTTCGTTGTTTTCCTCGTGTTTAACCATACTTGGGCACTCAATGCTACAACCAGGAAGGTAGCAAATCTTGGTACTGTTTACTTCCGTGCAACTCTCGCTCACTTTCTGCTCCATTTTCTCAGTTTCGACATTATTGACCACTTTTTCGATTAAACTTTCCACAAACTCATTAGCCTCTACCGAAACGCTCATTTCACTATTTACAGATTCAACGGTCAAATTTTCAGGCTTACAAAATTCTTCTTTATCAAGTGCACCAGGTGAGTCCTCTACAGAGAATGAGACACTCCCGCTGTCAATAACATCTCTTACGACAGAATCAAGCAGCTCATTTGACAAAGGCTTCACTTCCATGAAGACTACCCAGCCTATACACATTCCAACACTACGCATGCATAGCTAACAAAAACCGCTTGGTTCGAAGATAGATTTTCAGATCTCCTCGATCTAATATTCAAAATAACCACTTGGTAGACAATGCTTAATCTGAAACCGCGTACTTTTATTATTATATGATTCTCGGTAATAGAACGAACATAATTTGTACGCAATGAAGCTGATAATTTAGAGGACAGATTTCAAATTGACCATGTCATGCTCAAAATTATAATTGATGTGCCAGTCGGTCATATTTGGAAGTTTGACCTTGAGCAACACGAGAAAGGTAATTTTGTGGTGGAATGAAATTTTTGCAAAAATTCGATTTTTTTTTATTTTGTTTGGTAATCAGAAGGTCAAAAGTATCATAGTAACCGAGGTTACAGTCATGAGTCCCTTCATCATGTATTCCAGTCAAATTCCTTGGAATTTTCTGGATATGGAAGTGATAATGATAAAAGAAGATGTCAAGTGTTTAAGTCCTTTTCAATTAAAATCGATACGGGTTACGCTTCTTCAATAAGAACACGCAACTCGACACGAGATAATATAATATACAAGTGTTACAAGTAAAAAATTTCGTCGAAAGTTATTTTGTCATTTATTGTTCCGAGTACGCAAGCGGCGTTCGCAATCTGTATTGCCAGGGAGATTCTCTGTTTTAAAAAGCTGCCTGCTCTGGGTTCCTCAGTGCATATGCTTAGGTTCTTACAAAGCTTGCTCAAAAAAACTTCTGTGCTGGGGCCGGCCGCGCCCTGAATTTCAAAAGCTAGCGGTTGAAAAAGATATCCATCATTTACAAGATCTTTATATTTGTCAATTTTTCGCTCTTCCGCTTCAGCGGCAGCCGTACCAGGGTTACAAACAGACCCGGCATTAATCCTACAAGGAGCTAAGGAGTCTACTACCGTTAAATCCCACAAGAGCTGCTTACCATCAGCCCATGGAACGAGCGTCAAATCGTCTGGTCGCTTCTGATCGGTCCTGTAGAGGTGTCGTGGTTCTAAAACAGACGGAATATGAGTAGATGATAGACTCATCTTTATAAGGGCATTCAGGTTTGAATGCCTAGAGAATCTCCCTGCACTTTTGAGGCAAGAAAGACCATGCCAACCATCCTCGGTAACGTCTTTTCCGCACACGCATTTATGCCGTTCGCATATTTTTGATCCTAATCGAAGTCCTATCGCAATTCTGAGTCGCTGGTTCGACAGTTTTAACCTTAAATTTTTGCACGGGATGACGTTCAACCATTGGGATCCAAATCTATCTTGGAACGCGTTGAACCTTTTTACGTCCGTTGGTTCGAGTCGTAAAATCAAGTCTGCAATCTTGCTGTCAAATATTGGCTCCGTCCAATTTCTTTAGATTTCATTTTCCGGAGCCATTTCAATTTTTCCAAGGTCAAACCAGGTTTAAGCGCATCATCATAGGTCCCATCCACATGCTCCAAACCAAAGATATCGCTCAAGGCATCTTTTGCTCCTACTGCTGAGGCTAAGAAAGCGGGTAAAGCGAGTAGACGAGCGGAAAAAACGCCCAAGCTACCTTTGGCTGCCGGGAAAACTGCTTGTAAAAACTGGTTATCATCCATTTTCACGTTAGTGACCTTGCATGACGAATTTCTTAGTAATTTATCGTAGCGTTCAAAAAAACCATTTTGCAAAAAACAAGGGCTCGTACGCAAAAAATATTGGAGTTTTGGCATGCTAAAGCAATTTTTCAGGAGGTAAAAACCATAATGGGCGTCTAGTTTGTCAATGACATCCGAGATTTTTTCAAGCTCCCTAATTTTTTCGTCGAGCAATTCTTTTCGGCAAAGTTCGCCGATTGGAGATCCTAAAATGAGGAGTTCTTCTTTTGTTTTTAATTTTATTTTGGGGCATATTTTTCGAAATTATGTTAAAATTGAATTATACTGTGTACTAGTAGTCGGTCCCAAAAAACAAAGTTCACACTTCTCAGTGTTTAAGCTCAGGCCTTAAATTTGTTCCGATTTCAGAATGTTTTTAAGGTCCCGGAGTACTACCTTATAGTCGTCGGCTAAATTCCCATCATCGAAATACCAGATGTTAATTTTCGACTCCAACTGTTTGACTAGTGTATGAATTGTTTCCGCAAAAAGGGGTGGGGCTTCAGGATCACCTTGCTGAGTTCCGTCTTCTGACATTATGACAGAGCTTCCGTAAAAAAAGGTAACTAGGTTTACCATACGCGCAATGGGTGTAATTATACAATTCGGGGCGATTTGAAAAAACATGATTCAGCATTGTTTCTCTGTTTAAAGAGTTAAAGGCATTCTTAAAATCTAGTTTTCAAAGAACAGTACATTTTGGATTGTCGTCGCGTTCAATTAGGATTCGAAACGAGTGCGCAGCTATTTCTGCTCCTCGTTTGGTACCGCATTCTACCTGTACGTTTCCGAAAAAATTTTGTCGCTCGGAGAGGGCCTTGCTTCCAGCGCATTTAGACGCGATACGTCTCAGCGTGTTGCCTATGGCAATCGGTCTCAACCCTCCGTCCATTTTTATGAGGGCGATAAGCTTTGCGTCAAAAAAGAAAGGTCTTAGTGGTTCCGGTATTTTGCCATCTCCAATGAGGTTTATCAGCTTAGTAAGCAATTTCAGAAAATTAAGTCCTGCACTGCCATTCGACTTACTAACAGATCTTTAAAAATTTGAGGAAAAATTTTATCAGGACCTGCTGCTGATCCGTTTGGAAAGGACATTATCGCTTTGTATAGGTCGAAATCGGTTACGAAACAAACTATCCAACTTTTCTGGATTTGGAGCTGCAACTTTGGCTCGCTGCGGGTGCTTACACAACAATTTTTGATAGTTATCAGTTGAAAAAGGAGCTATTTTGTCATCCGAAGCAGCAAGCCTTATTCCTCCCTTTACATTTCTTTCATCGAGCTTACTACTTTTTAACTTTATTCTCTGCTCGAGGTCACTCAGAGGCGGGCTTGAAACTTGGGGATGGGGTTTTGGAAGTGACACGTCATTTGCTCGAGTTTTCTTATTTATCAAAGAGCTCATGCTTGTGGTCTGTTTGCGTCCACTTCTTTTCGGTTGCTCCAAAAAAAACAAGAACGACGTTAAAAAAATTAGACATTTTGTAACATCTTCTACCTTGTAGACGATGTCATTTATTTTGTCCGACAGACTTTCCGCCAAGGGAACACGCGAGTCTTTTGGTACTCTCTTGAGTACTCGGACATTTGAGATAGCTGTATTAACATAATTGTCTATCACTAAATCATTACCTATTGTTGCTTTATTAACAGATTTTACATCAACGCATAAAAGACACTGAAACCATTGGGTTTTCTTAGAATCGCTAAGAGAAAAATTTACACAACTGATTTGATACCAACTAGAACTACAATCACATCTAATCCAATTTATCAGTCCTGAAGGTTTTAAGCAATCTTTGCTTGTACACTCTTTGTTGTTTTTCCTCATCTTGACGACGCATAAAGGTAAAAAAAAGGATTTTGACTGGACTTTAGGGGACTGAACTAACCCATGATAAGCGGTTAGTGGGAATTTTACAAGTCAGCAAATAAACAAAAGACAACTAAATTAATTTAAATTTTAAAATCGAATTATAAAAATCAAAAACAAGGAACAATCTCACCCGAGCTCAGTAGGTCCAGCGGCGCACCACCAGACTCCTCAACCCAGTTTCAGTTCCCCACCTCCCCACAGAAAGCCACTTGACAGACCTGTCTCTAAAATTCCTCAGAGGGCGCTCCACATACAGGCACAAACATCAAACATAACAAATCTATTTAATAAGTTTATCACAACAATTAGGCTAACATGTCCAAAACTCCATGTCCACATGTCCAACAATTAGGCTAGCATGACATGTCCAAAATCCGAATTGGACATGTCATGCTCAAGTTTCTCGCGACAACTGAAAATGAGAAAATAAAAAATCAGAAGAACCGATTTACAATCGAGGGAAAGTGGTCGAAGAAAGTAGCGGGAAAATGCTATTCGCAATTTCCAGACATGG